TCAATTCAAGATTTTTAAAGTCTTCACTGACACTCCCCTAAATAACAACCCTATGTTTGATTTAGGAAACATCTTAAACTCCCAAAGGGAAGAACATTTTCTTATAAAGTATATTGTTATTAAAAAAAAAAAAAATTCATGCCTCCTGGTAATTCCTATTCCTTTGTTCTTTGCAGACAATCACACTGACTAGAATAAAGTCTCTCTCCAACTTTCCCAAAGACTAATTGCTCAAACATAATGTTAAAACTATATGAAATATTCACTTATTTGAGGGATATTACATAGTATTTAATTGCTGTCTGATAAGGGAGATAAAATTAAAATTTTTTAAAAATACACTTTTCATTGTCATAAAAACACATGCTTCAGGTTTCTCACATACTGGCCACTGGAGTGAGGCATACCCTAAGTCCAATAACAATTAGAAAAATTTTAGGTCCTACCAACCCATCTCTTAGTCTCTTCTTGCCTTCCTTCTTGCTATGAAGTAGGGCTCATGTCACAAAGGGTCCAATATTGGAAAAGACAAATAAATGAAAAACAACAATGTTTTGATCTAAAAATATCCAAAATTAAGGGAGAACATCTCTTAAGCTATTTGTAAATTGTAATAAAATACAAATAGCTCCCTGGGACATCCTAAGAGATAACAAATGCTCTGCTGATACTTTAAAAACAGTGAATACTATGATAGCAGCAATGAAACTTGCTAACTCTCTCAACACCCCAACCCCAATGTGCCCCTTGAGTGACTTACCAATGACGTTTGGCCATGGAACTCTCCAGCATAGGACTCTTCACACATTGTCCTAGCTTTTCATGACTTGTGGAGCTTCACAAAAGGTTCGCCAGGACCCTGCCTGCCCTAACTTTATGACAGCTGGCCTAGTACTGTGTTTACACTGCCTTGTGGTTGCCAGCCTGTCCCCACTCCCCAGAGGTTCAACTCTATAGGCGTCTGTCCAGGATGCTTTCCTCTGCCACCTGTACCTACCTTGCTCCCTCCTCCCCTTCTATGTGCTTTACCGGACAATCCACCTGAATTTTTATACTTCAGGTTTCCTTAGGAAACCACCCTAGCCATTGCATACTCTTTCTTGCTCACATTTTTGTGAACTAAACTTGACTCTCCTAGAAGGCAAGGGCAGTGTCTTACCCATTTTTAAAGCCCAGCTCCCAAAAGTGTAAGGCACATGGTAGGCCTTAAATGTTGGTGATACTGTTGAATGATGTAAATAAGATTTTCTTAGAGCTCATTCTCTCAAAATATTAGTTATTATGACCTTGAAAAGACTGATTTTGAAGAACTGTTCATTTCAAACCATTTGGGAAACAACAGTCCTCTTTCTAAAGTACATAATATTTAGAAGAATTAAATGTGAAGGTGGCACAGAAAAACGTGGGGAATGAATTATTTTATCTTTCTTTTCTTCCTTTTTTTTTTTTTTTTTTTTTTT